CCGCAATTATTATTCTGCGCTAATGTATTTGTTAAATTAAAAGAGGGAATTGCAATTTTTTGTATTACCCGCGCGCGATGTCAGATCGAAATCTGATCGGGCGAAGGTATTCTTTAAGGAGAAAAGCGTCATCGCGCGCATTTTTCGGAGAGAAAGGAACATTTTCGAGATATATATATATATGTATGTTCAGGTAAAACGTCGACAAAGAGACAGACGTCTCGCAAAAATGTTTTTGTCTCGACGATCCGCCCAAAAATAACGACACGATGCAGCTGCCGAGAGATCAAAGCCCTCTCCCTTCGTCGTCCACCCCCTCTGCGGCCCACGGCCTCCCGAATCCCACCTACACACTGCGGACGGACGGAGAAAAAAAAGAAAGGAGAAAAAAAAAGAAGGGAATCCTCCCACGATTCTCGCCGTGAGTCGACCTCGGAGCCGCTCGCTCCTGTTTACGTGTCGCGAGCTCGATGTCTCTCGACGGCTTCGTCGTCTCGTCTTTATCTCCGTCTCTCTCTCTCTTTTTTCTTTCTCTCTCTCTCGACCCTCTCGAATCCCCGTTTCTCATCCTCCTTCCTCGCCGTTGTCCTGATTTTAGCGAAGTGTTGCGATCGGCATCCGCCGCGTTCGTTTGTCCTCCCTTCTCTCCTCTCTCATCATTTCGCGACGTTCTCCCTCTCTTTTGCGCTTCAGTGACGTCTTCTGGGCACGGACGAGCGCTCGGGGCTCCCGGATTCTGGGGGGCCCGCGTCACGTGAAAGTCGCGATGATGTTTTCCTTTCCGTACTGCTTCGCAAAACGGGGGCTTCGTCATCAAGGGGATAGAGCTGTTGAGGAATGTTGATGCTGCACGTGACACACACACACACGCACGCACGTACATACACAGGTGTTAAATCAGCAAATATTTGACGGTTTGTATATCGTTAGTGTGCGCGCAATTACCGCGCCTGAATTTGAATCTGTAATTCTCTCTGGCGAGAGAATTCATACCCCGCAGATTACTTTAGCGCGGTAACTAAATTAAATTAAAAAAAAAAAAAAAAAATTTGCCAAACAAAAACATCATTTTGTTTTACACGAAATTATTAGTTTTTGTTTCGTTAGTTTTTCGATGCTTCAGGCTCTCGATATTTTAAAGTCGATGCTGTGCTCGCACTCGCTCACCTTAAAGCAGAATTCATACGCGGCCGAGGAGAACGCGGCTATTATGTGTCGGTGGCGATGGCGCGACGACCGTGAGAGGTCTGTTTTATTTGTCTCGTGTAAAGGATTGTGTTCGACGCGATATTATTTTCTTTCTTCTCCGTCGTGAGCGCGCGCGCGCGCGCGCGTCTCCTCCTCCCCCCGCCCCGTTGGATGAAATGTTCGCGTAACTGGATGATGGAACGACTCAATTGTGAGAAATCGGAAACAGTTTACGTGACGTTGAAACAAAAATCGTCGAGGTAATTCATCGGGAAGAAAATTAAAAAACTCGGAAAATAGAAAATATTTTCTCTCAAAATCGTCTCTTTTTATTTTCACCCAGATTTGTCGATATTTTAACGCTCGTTGGCCGCGCGACACCACGTACTTCAACACAATTGCTCTCCTGACGTGACCCAAAAAAAAAAAAAAAATGCTGCGCCCTTGCGCAATCCCGGCGCACTCTCGTATTCCGTCGATCCCCGATGTGTTGTGCGCGCCGCTCCGCGCTTCCTCCGCGCGCGCCGTGCATCCTCTTATAAAAACACACACACACACATACGCGCGCGCGCGCGCGATCGCGTCTCTCTTTCTTTCTCACATCCCGCACCAACGGCTGTACGGCCGGAGTCTTTTGTTGCGCGCCGAGTGGGCTCTAGTTGACGAAATATTGACATCCGAGAATAGAAACCCGTTGCGGGATCTAACAGAGGGGTTTACCCTCCCTCCCTTTTTCTCTCTCTCACTCGCCTAGTGTCGAATGGACGGAACGCGGCGAAGCGCGGAGAGAAAGAGAGAGAGAGAGAGAGAGCGGAAATCAGCGGCTACGGGTAGGGAAAAGAGAAACGCGAAGGGAAAAGGCAGAGGCTGGCTCGGTCTTCGTCGTCGTCGTCGTCGTCGTCGTCGTAGTTGCATTCAGCATGAATTTAAAGGGAGTGGGACGTAGATGACGTCAACCTCCGAATCGCTCCCTCTCTTATGTGCGCTATATCTGGACGTGTTGTGTGCACCCGCGTGTATACATACACACGTTGCACGCACGAGAAACGTGTGTGCGCCGCGCGCCCTTGCCCGGCGCACATTGGGGAGAAACGTCGAACTCGCTCGGATGACAAACGAAATATTACACGCGCTATAGACGTGATTGAGTAAAAATTATCTCTTGCGATCGACGATGTTACGCGTCACATATCGATCGAGGAACAGGACTGATGAACCTGCTGGTGCAGCGCGAACGCAGGAAAACACGCGCTTTGAATTATTTATATAGTAAAAAAAAAAAATAATTTACTCGATTAGACAATTAACACATGTAATATTAGTTATAGAATCGACGAAAGTAAAATTTTTCTGATAAAATTACGATAAATAACAATTGTGTTTGATACACGTTCGCGGTCAATAAAATGATACGATAATTCGAATTTAATAGAAATTTAATTTCTCAACGTTGAAATATAAGAAATTTTAAATTTAAATTTTGGTTTTTTTTTCTCCGGAAGCGCGGACACAAAAGAGCGCGTCGAAATTATTTTTATTTGATCCGTGGGCCAACCGTGATACTCGTTAGCAATATCGTCTGTGATGATCGGGAACTTTGTAGTTCCCAAACATTTAAAAGCGCACGTGTTAATCGATCGATCGGTCTCCCCAACATTTTCCTAGGCTGTTGAACGTCCTCGATTCTCTCTCGCCCCTTATGGATCACATGGCGCGCACGCACTTCTGTGTGTGCGTGTGTGTCCGTGCCCCGGACTCGTCGCGTTGTTGTATTGAACATACGTACGGGAGAGACTATTAAATTTGTTTTTGTTCGTGCGTTATAATCGCGTCTCGAGGACAGCGCGTGTGCGGAGAATTTTTTCTGCCGATCTCTCTCTCTCTCTTTCTCCCTCTCTGTGCAACAGAAAAGAAGAGAAATCTCCGAGGTTCGCAATCGCGTAATGCAAAACTTGCTTGCTTCGCAAGCGATTGACATGCACGTCTGTATGCATGTTCGCTTTGTTTGCGCAAAAGCCGTCGTCACGATTTTGTCCGTTGTATATGTTTGCGCTTCTGTGGAATTTTTTTTTCTTTTTTTTTTTTTATTGCGCTTATTCATTTACCGTTTCGTGCTTGAACGCAGCTGTAGAAAATAAATCGTCACTCTGAATATCCCCGTAAACAGTAATCGGAACAACACCTTGTAATACTTCGACAACTCGAGAAATTTTGTTGCCGGGCGGCAAAAGGGGACGTTAATCTCTCGTTTCGACGAAATGCAAATAAAAGAAATTAAAAATAAAACAACGTTCGAAATTCTGATTAGTCATTCGATCTGATTATCTTATCGTCAGAAATTCGAAAAAACGCACGAGAGAAGTGTATCTTATCGAATCGCGCGATTACACTGTACTTTGTTCGGAGAGAAAGCTTACTGCTTGCAATTCGACTGCAGCGCGCGATATTGAAGTGGTTGTTTTTTTTTTTCTTTTTTTAATATACAGAGAAGAAGAGTTGTCCACAATGTTGTTTGTTACATCGACGACGTGTATTACGCGATATATACACACGTATCGATACGCAATCGAGAATCTTATGCAACTCGGAGAATCAGGTAACGGTCGGATAAGGACGTGTTTCTGCTTTTGCGCAAAGCCAGCATTATTACATTGGTGTGTTCGCGCGAAAAACTCGTATGTGTGCACGTGGTAATCCGATATTGCAAAGACACGACGCCGCGCGTGCTCCTTCATGTGCGCCCGACTGCTAACATTTGCGATCGTTTAATCATACGATATAACTGTTGCGCGCGAGTCCGCGACAGATTTCTATAGGAAAAAAAAAAAATCTATTTATCTCTTGTTGTAAGTAAAAACTAATTTTTCAAATATATATATATATAATCGGTATAGCAACCTTTCTTTTTCTCGCGATTTAAACATCCGTTGTGTCGCGGGGTTATTACGAGCCGCGATTTCCTTTTCGCGCGAAACGAGAGTATCCTGCGTAGCCGCGTTCAAACATTCGAGCTCATCGGAAATCATGCATCGGTGCAGAAACTTCGCTTCCCGCCCGTTGTGGGGCTCTTCGTGTTTACGGCAGCGGGGTAAGGCACGTATTATGAACTCGCGCGCGCGCGCGACTCGGCGCGGCGCGGTGTGTGAATAGCGAGCACGTGCATTTCCCACAGAAAAGCAATGGGGGCTACGCGCCGCAGCGTGGCCAGCTGGGAACCACGGGTTCCGAGGTTTGGCTCCGCTCTCCTCGTTCTTTCGGGGTATATACGAGAGCTGGGGATGTCGCCATCTTTAAAGAAACATCGATATTATTGTATTTATTTGAATGTACGCACAGAGAGTCAGCGCGATATCGTCTCGATGTCGCAATTCCACAGCGGCATCAAAAATGCCGATTATTGTTTCATTTAAAAATAGAGCAATTTATTTGTTGCATATAAATGTAAATAAATGAAAAAAAGATATATTTTATTTGTTAAAATAATTTGTCGAGTATAAAGAGGAAATAATGTGTGACGTAAAAAATGTTTTTTATTATTACGCAGCCTTTTATCTATTTTTTGTTTGTTTGATTTTAACTGACGCCGTCGTAATGAGCTACGTGAACTATATAAATTACTGAAATATTATAAAGAAATCAATCAATTGTGTTCTGTCTCTGCTGCTTTATTTTCTTGTCGTTTTTTCTTAGGTTTCTCCTGGAAATATTAAAAAACGTTTATTTATATCCCGTCACGTTCGAATGTCAATCTCTAAATTTAAGAAAAACTGTTATGCAATTTGAAAAATTAAAAAAAAAAAATCTTATTATAGGTGCGTGCGTAAACTTAAATTCTTCTGGACGGGGGACGATGCGCACGAAGTATGACCTTCTCAAATTATTCAAGTGTCATGAATAATTCCGGCGTGTTATTACTACGTCGCGGAGATTATGAAATAAAGATCTGCCGCAATTACGCCAAACACAGACTGTATCGATTGGCAGGAGTCCATTCGTTCGTAGCGGGAATCGATTGCACGAGTGTACCTATGATCTTGACTTCGCGAATGGTAACCACACTTTTCTTGTCGCAAAAGTTTATACTGCCATTTAAGAGCGATTTTAACTCTCGCCAATGTAATCGACGACGTTGTTATTGTTCGTTGTGTTATGAGCGCGCGTGTTATATCGTTTACACGCTGATTTGATTTTTAATTGTCAGAAATGAGATGCGCGCAAAATATCTACTATAGTTCGCTAGTGTTTTTACATATGTCGCTCATTTTTTCAATTCAGATTAATATCGCGCGTATCGATGTGATATCGTTAAAACTATATCTTATTGTAATTGCACGTCGGTGTTAACGGTTTTGAAAAGATTCAAATATAGAATCGAAACGTCAATCGTGCGGCTTGCGTCACACACCTTTGCCGCTCAATTCGCGATACGCCAACTCCGCAGTTTCTAAACGCACAGTTATTTCTATAACTATCACCGACGTGCGCCGCGTGAGAGATTCTCCAAAAAGATAATTTTATCTCGCGGAGGGTGAAGAATGAGTCATGCTTTCTGTTTCAGTGCGCCAGTAAGCCGCGCAGGGATCCGATCGTGGTGAAGGCCGCTTCTTCTTAGAGGGCCGGCGGCGGTGACGCGACAGCATCAACAACGGCGACGATCGGCGTCGGAGCGCAGCCGTTATCATCCGGCTATCACAGCGCAGCGCCACCTCAGAACGGGAGGGGTGGTTCGCCACTTCGTGTCGCGGCGATGGTAGCAGCTGCCTCCGCTACGGCCACCGCCACTGCCAGCGTGGTGGCCATGCAGGACCGCCAGGACATCCCCGCGCAGTTTAACCAAGTAATTGATTAGTAATTTGTTTATCTAGATTTTTTTCTCACGACATTTTATATATTTAAAATAACGTGATAAATCAATGAGAACAAATTTTGTTGCCAGATGCAGAGCCAACATGGAATGCCTCATCAGACATACAATACGGGGTACGGAGGACCCCAAAGAGGACCAATTCATGGAATCGGACCAGTCGGGATGAACAACTTCAACGCTATGGGAACGATGAGCCCGATAAACCCCATGCACTCTATGAACACTCTGAATACCATGAATTCGATGAACAGTATGAGCTCAATGAATCCTATGACAATGGGAGGAATGAACAGTATGAACAGTATGAATGCTATGAGCGGAATGACGCCCATGAACACCATGAGCAACATGAGTAACATGACCATGAACAACATGATGGGACCCAACAACATGCAGATGAACAAGATGCAGGTATACTCATTTTTCTCAACAATCTTAATACGCTCAACTATGTTTTTTTTTCGATCGTGATTCGCTAAAGAACCGAATAGATTTATTTATCTCTCATGTATCGTCCATTAATCGTAAATATCGCTGCTAAAAAAAACATCTTTCATAAATACTTCATATTGATGTTCTCTGTGTTAGAATTTTAGCTTGTCAAGGCGTGTGTTTTTCGAGAACGAGAAGGAAACGCGGTTTTTTTTTTTCAATTTTATTCATTTGAATTGATGTTTTAACAGAGTCTTTCAAATACTTCAGCGTACGCGTTTGCCCTTCCAGGCTCAAACGCATCAGGGCTATCCGCGAAGACTGACGCCTTATCCGAGTGCGACCATGCATTTGGCGCAGAAGCGACAGCAGTCTCCGTACGCTCAGAATCCGGCGGCCATGCAGCAGAATTTCAACGGCATGACAGCGTCGCAGTATCAGACCAATTATCCCGCTGGCGCGAGACCGAACTTCCAACAGCAATATCAGCCCATGCAGAATATGAATCCCGCCGCGGCCGGTTTCGGACCCTTGATCCGGGCAACAAACATGAGGCCTCAATCGGTGCCCGCTTACAACACCGCGTCTCAAGCCGCCACGAATCACCAATACGGCGGTTACGGTGGCACCAACGTTCCTGTCTGCATGGTCCCCCCTACTCAGGTCAACAATCAGTTCGTCAGTCATCAGGCGAACACGGGATACGGCGGCGGTAACTCGTCGTATGGCGCGTCCGTTGTTACGACCAGTCAGTATCAAACAGACGTGGCGTCAATGAGAACGACGAATAGCGGCAATATGAACTATCAGCACAGTCCTATTCCTGGCAATCCGACGCCTCCGTTAACCCCCGCTACCAGCATGCCGCCTTACATCAGTCCGAATCCGGACCCAATTAATCCACCTAACTTCAACGAAATGAAATCGCCTGTCAACAGTCAAAGTAAGTGCATAAACTTGCGATTGTGCCAGTTGTTTATTATCAATTAAGTGTTTAATAACTCTTCTTGATACAAATCAAGATAGATAACGTCTTTGTTATCTGTCCAGATGTTTGATTTGTCATTTAATAGACGTAACGCATGTTAGATAAATTGGGGAATACTGTGGTTTGTTTCAGATGATGAATTGAGACTAACATTCCCTGTGAGAGACGGCATTATTCTTCCACCCTTCCGACTGGAGCACAATCTGGCTGTTAGCAATCACGTGTTTCAGCTGAAACCCACGATACACCAAACGCTAACGTGCCGGCCGGATCTGGAGCTGCAGCTCAAGTGTTTCCATCACGAGGATAGGCTAATGAATACGAATTGGCCGAGCAGTGTGCAAGTTTCCGTTAACGCGACTCCCCTTGTGATCGATCGCGGAGAGAACAAAAATTCTCACAAGCCTCTCTACTTGAAGGACGTCGCTCAAGCAGGAAGGAACACAATACAGATTACTGTGTCGGCCTGCTGTTGCGTAAGTTACTACGAAGCAATAAATAACCAATATTTTTGTAGTGTAGAGATATGCTTATTTTGTTTTTTTTTTTTTTTTTTTTTTTCACTTTTTTATGCGTATGTTACTTTTTTATTTTTTATTTTTTTTATTTTTTTGTTACAGTTATGTAATACAGTTATGTTTATTACGTCTACTTATATCAGATATTTGCATATTTACAGTCGCACCTTTTCGTACTTCAATTGGTTCATCGACCGACCATACGAAGCGTGCTGCACGGATTGCTACGTAGAAGGCTGTTGCCGGCAGACCAATGTATACAAAAAATCAAAAGAAACTTCAGTAATACGATGTCGAACAACGGCATACAGGAGAAAGAAGTAGTAGAACAAACAGCACTAAAGGTGCGTAGAAGCTACGTAGAAGATCTGAAGGTAAAATACTTGAGATGCCTCCAGGTAAAGTTGGTTTTTTTTGTTTTTTTTTTTTTTGGATTTTACTTTTTCTAAAACTGCCTCGAAAATATTATACTTATATATTAGTTATTTATCTAAATTTCTATTTATTTAGAATTCAATTGTTTCATTTATTTTCAAATTAATTTACATTACTTTATTGTGTTTTCATCCTATTTTTTATTTTTATTTTATTAATTTATTTTAATTTTTTAATTTTATTTTATTTGTATTCTAATTTGTTTATTATTTCTTTTTATTTTCAAAACTTTGATATGTAAAATATGTCGCTCATACATTCATGATTCGTAATTTTATTTTCAGGTGTCATTAAAATGTCCTATTACGTTTAAACGAATTACACTGCCAGCTAGAGGATATGACTGCAAGCATATACAATGTTTCGATTTGGAATCGTACTTGCAATTGAATAGCGAACGAGGCACCTGGAGATGTCCAGTGTGCACGTAAGTATCGCTTAAATAATCGCCACTGAATTTCTGACATATATTCGAGAACAAACGGGCAGAATCGGATTATTGTTTTTTTTTTTGCAGAAAACCCGCACCTTTGCAAGAAGGCCTTGAAGTCGATCAATATATGTGGGGCATTTTGAATACGCCGACTACCACGGACGTCGAAGAGGTGACGATAGACTCGGTCGCTAACTGGAAGATCACAAAGGTCATAACCAGCATCAAGACTGAGGAAGAGAGCGATTGCAAACGAACGGTCAAAGCCATGTCGCCGGGTAGCATGACTATGCCAACTATGAACTGGGATATGAATCAGGCAATGAGCCCTTACCTTCCTTCGCCTGATATGAACACTATTATGAGCGGCTCGATGATGAACAACTCGTCGTACGCGAATAACAGCATAAATCATCGGAACACATCGGGCGGAACGTACGAGATAAATTCCGGAACGAATACCATCGGCAATAACGATTACACCAGCGGGGCGGGCCCGCTCTCGCATTTAAATGATTCTGTCGAAAGGATTGCCTTGGATCCTCTCAACGCGATGGAAAAATCGCTCAATGATCAGGTATCGATATAGCGTAGAATCAGTAAAACAGTAAGAAACTTAAGCACGATATTGGTAAAATCGTTGTAATACGATAGTGACTTACAAATGTTAAGCAATATTGACTCATTTGTTATTACAGATGCCTCATACGCCGCATACACCGCACACTCCGCAATCTACTCCTCATACGCCAGCTGGTGGAGCTAGCGGTCCACCAAGCGTTCCGCCCGCCTCGCAGGAGTCCACGGGAAATCACAATACCTCCGGCAATACGAATACTACTATAAATAATGATACCACGACGGATATACCGTCCGACTTAAATTTCGATCCCGCTGCAGTCATAGACGGGGAGAGCACCGGTCAGGAAGCGCTAAATGTAAGCCTGTGGCCTGTGTATCCGCACTGTGTCGAGTGTGACAACGCAGTTACATCTCACGCAGCAAGTCGGAAATATTTCCTCATGTCAAAAGTTATAGTTTTTTTGTTTATAACAATAGCGTTGTCCACTCTCTTGTTATAGCTCTTGCCGGACAATGTGGACGCGATGGAACTCCTCTCTTATCTCGATCCACCGGACCTAAACACTCCGCCTAGCAGTGGTGCCAGCAGCGGTAATCCTTCCTCCAATGACGATATATTGGCATTCTTTGAATAAGAAAAAAAGAAAGAAAGAGAGAGGAGGTTAGCGGATACACATCGAGTGGGTATTTTATAAAAAAAAAAAAAAATAATCAAACCGTATCGACCCCGTGTAATAGTGTTGTAAACGAGATTCCAAAAACATTATGCACTTTCTCGCGCAAATTTCTCAGGGCTTGGTGGGCTCAAATGTATTGCGCAAAAATATCCGATTTCCGAATCTTACGTAAGAATATGAGTGTCACATCACGTACTTGTGAGCGTTATTTAACATAACGTGTGTGTTGGTGAAGATTTTATGAGATGTCTCTGCGGGTGCTCTCACCTAATCAATGGTACAAATAATTTTAATTGTATTCCTATTGAAAGGTTAGAACGAGGCTAGGATTAATGAAATGATTTTTAAACGATACTGTGCGGCACGCATGCCGTACTGCTATTGGCAAAGTAAAGATTTTATTGCACGAACAATAATGTTAATGCGGCAATGACAGGTTATATATAATAGTATACATATTATATATAAAATTATATATAGTGATATATATATATATAATTTATATATATAATGGATAACAATGTGTTTTATATATTATTAAAACTGTCTCTTTAACAAGTTATATAACTTATATACCATATGCCAAGGGGAAACAACACACTTCCCAGTTGCGTGAGAGTTTTATAATATATAATTGATGACAAAAAATTGTTCAATTAATATTATAAATTATGATGTATATTATATAACACAATGACCAATACGATGTTTGTTGCGAATATAAATACGACAAATGTGGTAGATTTTTGAGAGACTGCAATTTTCTACATTTATTTTACACGTTCGTCTTCTAGGGCAAAACAAAAGTATACATGAAATGAAACATTTACACGCTTACGCCAGTTTAAACAACCGTTTTGTGGACACATTGAAGAATACTCTATTTTGTTCCTGCAATAAGATCTTTATACACACTCGGTCTATTCGCATTCAAGGCTATGATAGACCTACAAAGGGATTTTAGCGTTGCAAGGTCACACTTTTGTAAATAAATTTTTTCAATGTAAAATAATCCATCTGTTAGAAATCTTCAGCCTATTGCTGGACACATTGTGCATATAGTGTTCCTTTCTTTTAGGTGTGTAAGTTATATAATAAATAATTAGAAAAAACGATTAAACCAGGGGATAATAGGGCTTCACACTGGAAATATGGACAACACACACATATGACACAAAAAATATCTTACAAGAATAAAAAAGTAAAATTTATATAAAAGTTAAAAGAGGAGGAAATGAGAAAAAAGAGATCGCGCTTTTTAAAAAAAATGCTTTCTACACGTAAATTATTTGACAGTTTCGTGTTGCGTTTTCGTATTTTAATTATTACATGAACATGTGATGTAAAACATGAACGTACGAGAAAAGTACCCTTATTTATGTACCTTTGTAAACATGCGTACCTTTGTTTGCAGAGCTCCAAACTTTATTTAATAAGCGATATATTGTTTGCAAAAAGTCACGGTTATAGGTTGGCTGTTACATGTAGTTTAGGTTGGCAATTTTATAAGTTTGGATGAGATGAATAAATCTCATATCTAACAAAGATAAGACGAAGAGGAAGAAACAACGGCTGACTTTTTACATCTTTTTACGATTTTTTATGCTCTGAGAAAATTAGAATATATTTGCTTGTATAGAATTTATTTTCACATTTTGATGTGTGTGTATTGGTGTTTTATTACGTGATATTCACGACGATTTCTACGAGTAAGTCTATTGAGAAGTCTATGAAAAATTTAAATCGTGCAAAAAAGTTAAAAAAAAATAGCAATATTTGTACAAGGCCTTAAGAATTTATCACGTTGTAACTCACGTACAATCAAAGTTTATACAGAGTAAGAGAGAGAGGGGGGAGGGAGAGAGAAAGAGAGAATCAAAAAACTTCTCATCTGAAAAAACATGTACCGCGATATCGCAATATGATTACGACAAGAAAAATAACACTTGAACGTGTTGTTTTAGACCGAGGAACGATGATGATTGCAATCGCAACGATTCAACAAATGCGAAAATAAATTCTGTATATCTTTTTTGTTTTACACAATAAAGAGATAAATTGATTTGTCGTTTAACAAGAAACGTCGAAAATCAGAGATGCCGACATGTGAAGAGAAGAAAGAAAAACTACTGCCGGAGTGATACCGCCCAAGACCCCTTGCTTACCTAGTAAATTAACGAACGTTTATATCTTTTGTGATTGAACAAGACGAGTCACTTAAAACCGGACTCTCGATGTAGATTATATACAAATTTTATATAAAAATTGTATTTATATTCCAGTGTGTGCAACGCGCAAGCGCACAGCAAAGGATTAGAAGGGGGGGGGTTTTTATTCCTGCAACTATATTATATGCGACAAAAAAAAAATTAATAAAAGTCTAGATTTTACTATTACTGATATTTTAAGAGAGCGGGGAAAAAACACTATTGTATATATTACATGTATATACAAGTACATAGAATTAATGATGTAAGAAAACAAAAAGTGGCGAAATACTTATTGGCCAGTTATATAATAATAGTTAAAAAAAAAAAAATGGTTATATCGTAACTATTTCTCAGAACCAAAACATACACACGCGAGATTCAATGAAAATACCTTAAAAATCTAGAAAGTGTAACATATACATAGTTGATAAATGATAATAACAGTCAGGATATTGTACTGTTGTTTCTAATAGAATTATTATTTACCTATATATATATATAAAGAAAAAAAACCGTAATTATACTTAAAGAAGTTTATTCAAACTATAAGCTTTACTTAGAATTGCCAAGAAGTAGTTTGCGCGCAACCACGTTGCGGTTGTACAGAGTACGTTGCGGTGTTTATCTATATATATAAATATATATATATATATATATATATATACCTAGCGAATAATATCCTTAAAATACACGATACATTGTCTTAGTTCATGGAAGTCGTGGAGATTTGTAAGAACATTTCTCAATGAAGTTAAAGACGCGCTTTGTGTGTCAGCACGAAGAGAGAATTCTACAGTATTATATTAACAAGATAGAGCGTGCGTCTAAAAGTGGACAAGATGGTATAAAATTGTACGTGCGAAAACAACAATTTATTTTATTTTATTTTTTATTTCAATTATATAAAATTATTATAAAATCGCATCTGCAAAAATGACGAATTTATTTGATTTGAAAAGACAGAACTGCTTGGGCAGGTACGAGCAGAAAAACACAAGATGTTTCAATTGTTTGATTTTTTTTAAATTTAATGTGTTTTAATTTAATTGTTTTGACTTTAAACATGTGTAGTGATAAACAAAAACATCACATGTCGCCTTTGATAAACTTATCTTGTATATTATATAATGCGGAATAATAAAAAAAAAACACCAAAAAAACAAAAGAAAAAAATTAATTCCCGTTTGAGCATATGAAAATTCCTACGAGTCTCTGCGACCTCCGAAATTATCCAATACCCTATTTATCTATCGTTGTTAGGAGGCCTATAATTTTCGATTCTACATACTGTGCGAACAAATTCGACTGTAAACGGCGAAAACAATGGATGCGTTAAGTTGTCCAACAGAGGCCTGGAAAAACAATTACACGTTATAATAACAAAATAAAATATTTTCATCAAATGAGATGTGACCGTGCGAACTCGGTGGTGTATCGGCTACACTGAACATATAACGCGAACTTTCCATCTCGGTGACCATAATTTATATATATGAAACACACTATATACATATATATATATATATATATCGACTCACACATTCATATTGTATTTATAATAAATAATACCGTGCAAGAGTTGATTTATACACAGTGCGAAAAATTTTTACCAAATCATATCAAGAGAACCACTTCTTAAGTACGTGTGATATTTTTTGGTAAATAGCAAGTTAATCGTTTAGCAGATACACCATGAGAACAACATCGATCACGGAAGTCGATCCGTTCGTTTTTAGATGCATTTTTGCACTTTGTATAAAATAATGTATGTTCAGAGACTGAAAAAAGAAAAAAAAAACAAAAACCAGCGAGGAATCAAGTGCAAGAGATGCAACTTTAACGAATTAGGTTTACTGCGGTGGTGTCCGCGCGGTTGTCAATTGGCAGGTAAATGCCGCGGCGAGAAACGACGCGCGTCCTACTTGTTTGTCTCGAGCTGCACAAGAGACACGATAAAAAGAAAGAAAAGAGCGCATTAGGAGCGATCGAGACGCGCGATATCTTTATTCTACACCGATAAGAAAGAAGGAAGACAGATATTTCGAACAGGTCGCGAAGATAACAACGTTACGGGCTACGAAGTAGATCGGACTGGAAAAAAATATTAAATAAATAAATAAAACGCGGTGCGTGCAACTCGGCGACCTTAGCGCGAAACGAAACGGACAACTGCGCGCGGACACTGCTGCAGTTTCGCTCTCTCTCTCTGTGTAAAACTGGAAATGCGCATTATAAACTAAAAATAAAGAAACCCAACAACAGAGCCACTGAAATATTGGTTACACTCTCGCATAACAAATTTTAATATACAAAGACCAGTTTTTTTAAACATGTATGACAGACACAACACATTGTTTCTTGATAACACAGTTAGAAACATTCAATAAAAAAGACAAAATAAATAAAAAAAATAACAAATAAAAAAAATTGAAAGTTATTATTTACTCCTCGTGATTGGGAAAAAGGCACTTTTTAAATTACCTTTTAGATACGTGTGTGCGTTATCTAAAGCCCGGAATCTCTGAGCGGCCAAGCTTGCTCGGGCGCTCAGTCTTCACTTACCTGAACGGGACGAGACGACGATCTCTGTAAGTATTTGCACAAGTTTCAGATTGTAAGAAGGGGACGCTTCTTCGAAGCTAAGACTCGAGTTGTGGCGCGTGGTGGAGGGAAAGGGTTTCTTGAGACAAAAGAAATTGACACGGTTTTTGATATTTATATATATAACATTGTTTTTATTATATTTAAATTGAAATCGCGCGGTTATAAATTATGGTAATGAGTTCGAATACTAGGACTAGGACAGATAGTTTTTTCGCTGCTTTGCTCTGTATACTTAATTTTATATTGCATATGGTTGTGTCGAAGAATGAACGCCGTTGTTGAAATTTCTTTCTCGCTCTCTCCCCCTCTCTCTCTCTCTCTCTCGATCGTTCTTCTTCTCTTTCTCTCTTCATACGCGCACGCACATACACACGAATTTCTACGTACAAACTTGCACTCACGCGTCTCTTTCTCTCTTCTTCTTTCCTTCGCTTTCTTTCTCTCCCTATTGTTTCGCTATCGATTCAATAAAAAAAAAAAACAAAAAAACAATAGTAATCGTTAAGCAGTTTACGCGCGTTTAATATAAAGACTAATCTCTGCCGCAATTCGCGATCTTTCTCAACCAAGTCTGGATTTCGACTGGCCAGTCGACTCGCGAATCGACGACAGTGGATTTCGAGTCGTCGTCGTGGACGCGCGACGTGCGTCGGCAGTGCTACGCAAAGAAATCGGTATTTCGCACCGGGCGA